TTTATTTATTTATTTTTACCAAATGTTCTTGCTACAAACTTAGAGAAAAAACTTTTTCATTTCTTAGACATCATGACTACTCTGGGTGAATTGCCAAGTGATCTCTGACCTTCCTGGTCAGAGCAGGAGAAAGGCCTGTGGGCCCCTGTTCCGTGAAAATCAACCAGTGGTGACAAATGACAACGGGCTCTGGTCACTGTCCTTTCTACTAATGCACAGAGACTTCAGGCAGAGCCCTCTCTTGGGTATAGTTGGGGTGCAAAGGGAAGATATGACAGCCTTTTGAGACTTGAGGGATGTTCAGTCTCGGGACAATGGAGAGGTAGCCCCACAGTAAACCAGCCAAAATGTGTGCTACTTTGTCTATGCTTTGACTGAAGGAAGCAGAGTGGAGAGAATTAGACACAGATTTGCAGGCAAGGTGGAAAGAGAAGAAATAAAATAGTGAGTTGTTTTATAGAAATTGTTTTCCTCATTTATTCCTCAATTGCATTTGCTTAGGCCATGACCATCTTTCATTTAGGGGTAGACCTGGTCATATTTGATTCTACGTAAGAGCTCACTATTTTGAGTTTGATGTTTTTCAACATTTTCCTTAGGGGGAATAAACAATGGGGTTTCCATGTAGCTGAGAGCTTTGCAAAGTCAGATGGTGTGTCCTGCCACTTGGTTGTTTTGATCAGATGGTCTCACCAGGAAGTGTTTCTGAAGGTATTCCATCCCCTCCATCCCAACTGTTGTCCCACTATCAGGAGCTGGCTAAGAGAAGGGATACCTGTTCAGGTTATATGCTGGGAGGTTTTGCTAAAGATTAAACAAAATCACATTCTTCTTGGCACAGTCTTTAGTAGAGGGGATGCTACCTTGAGTGTTGCTGATCCTCAGATTTGTGAACTAAGGGGAAAGGAGCATTCTTCAGAGGCAAGAAGGCTCTTATTTCTTTCCAGTATTTCTTAGGACAAAGCAGGTGATTCTTCAGTATACAGACACAAGTTTTCTCTCTGCCTTTCTCAGAGTCCACCTAGAGTTTAGATGAGACTGTGTGCTTCCATTGCTTGAAGATTTCTAAGACCTAGTTGATTGGGAACTAGTCTTTCTAACTCTTAGCTTGCAGGAAAAGAAATGATAAATCATGAGGGAAATAAGAATAAGCAAGATTTAGGGAGTTATGCCTCATAAAGAAAGTTAGAAGAACTGGGTGTGCTTTAAGTAGACCAGTGCTTCTTACCCAGTGAAATGCATCACTGGAATGCCCATGATATCAATCTCCTCAGCCTCAGGATGGCCAGGCTGGGGTCTGGGGCAGCCAATGTCACAGCAGGCATTCCCATCTGTATGCCAAACAAATGCTTTTGTTTTCTGTGCATGTCATGATATGAAAAGTGTTAGGAAACACTGTTCTAGATCACCAGTTCTCTGCATGCACAACATGAGAGAGTAAATATGAGTCAACTGGGAATTTAATTAAAATGCAAGTTGTGATTCAGTAGTTTAGGATTAGGGCCTAAGAATTCCTTGTTTTTTAACAAGCTGCTAATGTTGGTCTAGAGACCACACTTGGACTTGTGAGCACCTAGAGACTACAATTGTGATTCTGAAACATTAGAATTCATAAGAATTACCTGAGAGATGTGAATAAGATGCTGTTTCCTGGGCTCCCATGTGCAGAAATTCTATGTGATAGTTGTAGGATGGGGCCCAGGAATATACATTTTTTGTGAGTGCCCAGGTAATAAAGATCATTACTCAGGTCATCAGTTGTCATGACTTTCAGAAACATTGCTGTAGATCCCAATGAAATGACAACTAAGGAAGAAGACATTCTGATTAAACCTGAAAAAGATGATTTCTCAGGGAGAATAGAATGAGGGTCAGTGTCTTTCAATAGAAAATTATAGCAAAAGATCCAATAACAGGAAAAACACAGATTGTCATAAATGTCAAGGTTGAGCATTCTTCTCCAGTAGTGAGAGCATCTCTGTAGCCAGGAGACCTGCTTTGTGATTCCATTTTCAAATATCACTGCAGGTCTGAATCATGACTTTTGAAAGTTATTGCCAGGAGATTTAGAGTTTTAATAAAAATTTCCGGAAACCACAAGCTATTTTTGTCTAAAAGTGGCTCTTTTGAAGATCTAAAAAGGTTAAGAGGTCATGGCTAGGTCAGTATTGAAGGATGACTGAAAGGATCAAACAGACTACTCATCCATTGTTGCTTAGATGCCCATTGCTGGCTGAGTGACCTTGGGCAAGTTTTTAAGCCTCAGTTTCCTCATCTGTGAAATGGAGATAGTAAAAAGATCTGCTTCAAAGTACAGTTGAGATTAGATGAGATGATTACAACATCACATAATGCTTACTGCATCGTAAGCTCAAGAAGAATGTTAGCTACTTTTAGCTATTATTTCAATGCCTTGCATTGGCATATTTAGATAACATAGCAAGGCAAAAATGACAGATCAGGTTGGGTAGCCACATACTAGTACATTATACATTCAAATCTTTCTGGGACAGAAAGACATGTGATTGTATTTGTCAGATCATGTGTCTTGACTTTTAAGGAAAAACATATGTTCCCCACATGTCTAACCTAATAGATTTTTCCAGAGTCATAGACCACACCCTAATCCTTGGTTAATTATCTTGACTGATCACGTGATTATCCAAAGATGTTGATTGAAACTATGCTTCTGAGAAAGTGCATGTTTGGTGTGAAAAAAGGCATTTATCAATTCAAGAAACACTCATTATGCCAGGACTAGATGGGGGTCTATTGATACTACATTGAAGAACAAAACAAAACCCTCTATGCACCAGGCACCTGGAAAGACAGGCAAGGAAACAGACCATAGTGTTGTGAGCTGAGCACTAAGTACTGGGAGTAGCTAAGAGGAGGTGACATCCAGTTCTTAGTGGGGTCAGGGGTAGTTAGAGAAAGGATCCTAGGCAGGCAATGCCAGGGTTAAATTCTGAAGGATGTAGAAGGGAACAGAGGAGGTGAAGGAAGAGCATTCCAGGTAGAGGAAGAAGATAAGGCAATTGCACAGGGAAAGAGGGAGCATTTCCAATAAGGCTGGAGAGGCAGACAAAAGCAAGATTATAAAGGTTGGGAATGCCATGCTTAGGGGTTTGGGCTTTATCTTAAAGTCTTTAGTTTGTCATGGATCATCCTTAAGTGGATGTAGTGCTCAGAGTGGTGGCACTAGTGACCTTATCAGGTTTGTGCTTTTTAAAGATCACTCTGTACCAAGTGTGGAGCGTGGATTGGAAGGGGGTGGGTATAGACTGAAAGCCTGGAGAATAGTTTGGGGGTGGTATAGAAATCTTGGAGACAATTGGGAAGGGCCTGAATGAAGGTAGTGACAATAGAGTTCAGGAGAAGAGAATGGGTTCACAAGCTAAAATTCAGGAGGTGGAATTCACAGCACTGGCTGGTTAAGGAGTGAGTGAGAAAGTACCAAGTAGCACACCCAACTTTTTGTCTTATATAGCATGATAGACAGCAGGTGCCATTCACTGAGAGAGGGGCCAGGAGACCAGTTCTTCAGTGGAAGTCCTCTTTATAATAGAAAAGAAGCACTTTTTGTTTTTGGCTCATCCATCCATCCATCCATCCATCCATCCATTCATCTATAAAATATCTATTGAGCCCTACTATGAGCCAGGTACTGTGTAGGGCCTAAGATCTCTGTCCTCACAGAGCTTACATACTTTTAATAGCTTCACCAAGACACTATCATTTGACCTCTGACCCATAGCAGACTAGCTGTTTGAAATCTAAGAGGATGTCAATCTAACTGGATGTCACCTCCTCTTAGCTACTCCCAGTACTTAGTGCTTAGCTCACAACACTATTTATTTCTCCTGTTTTAATTCAGGCAAGTTTTAGTTAGAAGTGAATGCATTCTATTTCCATGGCTCTTTGGTTTTGCACTCTGCTGAACATTTTATATATACAATCTCTCTCAATTCTCAGAAAAACCCTATGAGATAAGTACTACTGCTACAAATAAGGAAACCAAGACTTGAGGAGGTAAGTAACTTGCCTAAGGTAGCAAAGCAAGTAAGTGCAGAGGGGTCATCCAACCCAGACTGTGGGACCCCAGCTGTGCTTTGCTGTCCTGAAACCTGATCTTAGCATGCTTTTGCATATTGTGTGGTGTGGTGGCGTGTGCCCCTATTGCACTTACTAGACTGCTGTGGTTCTCCTTCACCAGGTTGTTAAATGGATGTACTTGGGGACTGGGGTGTTAGTGGTTGCATCACATCCTAGGAAATGCTGTCTGATGAAGAGTGTCAGGCCCTCCCAGCTCCAAGCACCCAGGGGCTCTAGAGGAGATGGAATCACATTTGTCACAGAAACCCTCCTGATCTTGAATTTATATAGTCTGAGAGAGCCAGGGAGACCGGAATTGACCCCTGGCAAAGCCATATGCTCCCAGTACACCCTGCACCTTTCCTTCTCTGAGAAACGGGCAGAGGCAGTGTGCCCTTGAACCAGCCCAAATACAGAGTGAAAAAGAGAAAGCTGGAGATAAACCTAAATTGCTCTTCAGGCACCTCCCACTGCAGGTTCAAATGGGCCTTTTTCAGCCACTCATTACAACAGAGTGCAGTGTGGCTTAAGGTAAAGACCCCAGAATGGAATCAAGGGTCCCTGGGTTCAAATTTGGACTCTGCCCTTTATGGGTCATGTAGCTTTGAGCAACTTTTTTTCCTTTTCTGAGCTTCTTTACCCATTAAATGGGCTAATACTTAACACAGTGTTAAAAATATTAAAAGAGACATGTAAAACCATCTAAAAATCGATCTTGGTCTACAGAAGGCCCACATCCCCTCTACACAATAAATGTTCATTGATTGAATGTTACTGATGCCTTGTCAATAATCAAAGTACTCTCTTCCTAATTAAGGTCACTTTTCTGGTTACTGAGAAAAATAGCTACTAGCCTTATTTTTGAAATGATATAAATGGGGATTATTTGGTTTCCTCTGTTCTAGCCACAAAAATGGTTGACAATACCAAGGCAGGAGTTACGGGGGTAGGAACAGAGAAGAAAAGAGACTCCTATTGGAAGAAAGGCTGATCAGGTAAGGTGGCTCCCACAACCCTGCATGACTGAGATTAGCTATTAATGGTGGGCCCTGAAGTGGAGGTAGGCTTTAGGCCAAGTGATATAAGAGAAGATTAGACAGAACTTTTCTTTGTGTATGTTGGGGTGTTGTTGCCAAGGACTTTACTGGCAGGCTTATCTGAGGCGGGTTCCCTGTGGGTTACGGGCTGCCCCCTTTCTCAGCTGCTAGAAGATTAGGAAGGAAACCAAACTCCCAGCCGACTGTCATTGCATACCAAGACACCAGGGAGCAGTAATCTGGATTCTTCTACATTGTACTTTGTATACTGTCAGAGAAGATCCACATAGCAAGGGGTGCTGACAGCTTGTTTGTTGGCCTGGAAGTAGAGAAAGCCTCTTGTCAGGGAGACTTTGGCCTTTTGGTTTTGTAGTCAGCCAGACATTTTACATATATTATCTCTTTCTATTCTCAGAAGAACCCTCTGAGTAGGTACTGTTGCTGAAAATAAAGAAATTCACAGATTGAAGTGAATTCTCCTTTGCCTCATCTTCCCTTTCTTCCTTTTTCTTTACCAGCTCTAGCACTAGCACCTTTCCAAAGCCTCTGGTAAAAGTCACTAGGCATGAGATACCTCACAATTTGAGAGGGAATGTTGCCCCTTCTCTCCCCTGCCCCATCTGCTTGACAACCAAAGAGCCTGGATGCCAGTGTCCCTTCTTCTCTTTTAAAGATGTCTCCCAGCCACTTAGCTCTTGCTGGAGGTCTGCTGCTGCTGCCTGTGGCACTGGTTTTTGTCTGTTTTATCTTCACTTGTACAAGAACATGGCATTTGGAATCTGAGAGGCGAGGGGTCATGACCAGCTTTGCCACCCACTGGCTAGTCAAGTTATTTAAGTGCTTTGAACCTTGGTTTCTTCTTCTACAAAATGGGAATATTATTCTCTGCCCAACAAAGTTGTAAAGCTCATGTGGCAAATGCAAAGCACCAAGCAGGTGTTTAATGCATGGTAAGTGCTCACTAACTGTTCTCCCTTGTTGCTAGGAAACACAATCACTGGAGACTCATCCCCCAGCGGTTGCAGGAGTGGAAGCAGTGTGGGGGTCTATCCCAGGCAGCCAATATTTTTTAAAGAAAATAAAACTAACAATGTTTTAATGACTTCTGGAATGCGTTTTCTGCATCTGTCTTGCTGAGTTTTCTTTGGCCCATCATGTCTTTCCTTCTCATAATCACCTTTCAGCTGGAGATGACTGATCCTTAACCAGTTGTCCTGAGGCTGGTTTCCAGGTCCCCGAAACTCCTAGGTTCACTCTCAGGCTCTGAATTATCCAGGTGAACCCGTCTTTGAGGTAGAACACCCTCTTCTAGGGCACTCTCAGTCACATGGAGGAGTGGGAAACAGCAGCAGTGACACTGGGGCTTGACTGCATTTCTGGGTTTTCTTAATTTGCCTCCTTGCTTTATAAAAAATAACATCGATTGCACACTAGTTAGTTGAACCTTTGACAGATGAGGGGAAAATTAGACTAATTAAAAATATTCTTTTATATTTGTTAACAGTTTTGGGGCTGGATTCAGTTATCCTCCTGACAGCCTAGGAATAGCCTGTATTCAAGGATGGCCATAAGTGAAACCAAGCTAGCTGCCAGGCATTTTCACCAGCAAAGGCCACGAGCTTCTGGTGGCCCTTTTCTGATAATCTAAGAACTTTTTAGGGCAACGGACTTTTGAAGACATCAAAACATGAAAACATTTCTTTGGGCTTAGAAGGCTACAAAGAGGATACTATAGCTATTTCTAGAAAGAGGAGCCCTTGAAGAGAAGGTATTCCTCTTTGTGGTTTGGGCTTTGATAATCAGGCTCCTTGAGTGGGTCATGATGGTGTCAGTTAGGCCTTCTGTGTCAGCTAGGTGAAACGTGCTACCCACAGGATGGGCTCTGTGTTATGCTGAAATAGTAGAGACTATGCTGAGAGACCCGCCATCCAGCCCCAGTTCTCATACACACTAGCCTATGACACCACAGGAGTTTGTTGGGGCTGCCCAGGCTCAGTTCCCTCATCTACAATGGAAGACTCTGAATAGCTGACTTCTAAGGTTTCTCCAAACTTCAAACTTCTTGACATCTTGAGATAACACAATGCAGGCTAGAGAGGAAGGGCCCATGTGTTCCATAAGTGCCGCCACTAAGGAGTGTGATGCCCAACTATTTCCATAGCTGCCATTTTTAAAAGAGAAAGAAATATGTGTTTTTATGTAAGATCTCCTGATTATTAGAGTTGGCAAGTAATTCAACTTCTTAAAAGAATGCTGCATAGGCCCAAAACTACACATCCGGGGAAAATGATGCCTAGCTTACATTAATTATAAATTTTCATAAGGTTCATCTTAATTAAAAAACAAAACAAATGATCTCACTTATTACTCTAGAGGGTTTTCTGGGCTATTGGTGGTGTTATTGTTCCTACTAGTGAAGCTAGTAGACTAGAGTCTGGTTATTAAGGTAAATAATAATCTAGCAACATCAAGCAGCTATGATAATAACACAAAGGGAATGCAAAACGAATTGAATTATAATGGAATGATGACTGTTGGTAAGAATATTAAGAACACTCTATCTGTTGACATTTTACATTTTTTAAAAAATCCCAATTGCCTTTGGAAGTTCAGTAATTGTGTTAATCAAAGTTTAGATCAAAGGTTAAAAAAGAGGGGAAAAAAGCAGGTGGGCTTGGTTCTAAGGTCAGGATGTCAAGTCCTGTAAGGGGCCCATGGCCGTCACCTCACAGGTGCTGCAGAGGCCATCTGTGTCACCTCGCAACCAGCTGCCCTGGCCCATCAGAAAGCTTGTCACCACATCTAATCCACCCTGCATGCTGTCCCCTGTTCTCACTGCTCATTGGAATGGGCACTTGGTGACTCTCAGGCATGGAGCTGTGGATGGAAGAATCTCTTCCAAGAGTGGGCCGTGGCCCTTTGGTACAAGGGAAAGTGAGCCCAGCAATCAGGAAGGAGACTTTATAAATAGCTGTTTTTGTTCTCTGAGCATGTCGCTTGTGCCTGCTGGTCCTGCCAACAGATTTGTCTTGGCTCAGTGTATTTCAGCTTCACGGGGCAAGGTATCCCCTGGCTTTCTTTCATGTTGGGGACAGGACTGGTGCTCATAGCACTACGAAAAATCTATGGTGGTGAATGAAAGGGAGGACTGAAGACCGGAGATCAGAAGAGGGTGGGTAGAAACATGGGGAACAAAAAGATGGGAGAGCTCAAGAAGTGGCTAAAGAAAATAAAAAGGAACAGGAAGGAGGGAAAGACCCACCAAGCATGTATTTTATAGTATTTTATGGAATCCTCTTAATAACCTATGAAGACACTTAAGTCATTTTAATGTGTGAAAAATTACCTGTAAAATCACAGGTGACAGATCATTTGCACTTAAGTGGCCTTTGGGGCCCAGGGATTCCAAGCCAGGAAAGCACACGTTCCAAGGATTCTTTCAGAGTCCAGGAGTTGCAGTCAACATTTCTTAATGTGGAATAGTGTTTGTGCATTTGCTCTTTGTAAAGAATGCATAGGCTAACTAGTGGATTAATTTTTTTTTTATGTGGAATGGAATTAACTCAATTATCTTCAGAGGCACTGACTGAATGGCAAATGGATGTTGTTGAATAATAAAAAATGGGAAAGTGAGTTACTGCCTAGAACAGCTTAATGGATATCTTATTCAATATGGCTCCCATGGTGGGGGTGTTCAGGAATGAATAAAAGTAGTGCACTCTTTGATAGTACAAGGATGTATGCAGAACTGGTACTCCATCCCAGCTCTGGATGTTGGCTCTCTTCTAAGCCATAACAGCCTTCTCATGGTACAGACCAGCAAACTGAGACCAGTCCTGATGATGCACTGGCTGGAATTCCAACCCCAGCTCCTGTTGCTATGCCCCCGAGACATCTGAGAGAAATGGAAAAGTCGATCAGAGCCACACAGCTAGTGACCGCGAAACTGGGCAATTCTTATTCTTGCTTGTGGGCTGGCTTGGCTCACAACTACTACTCCTGCCATGGACACAGTCAGGAGATCCCAGCTCTAGGCTGGTTGGCTTTGGCTGCTCTGGACCCCTTGGCACTCTTTGCCGGAGTCTGAGTTCTGGGCATCCCTATTGGTCTCTGGTCTCCACTCTTGCCCCAAAGTAATAAAAGGTCAAACCCGCTGGCCCCACGTCCAGAGCAACCTCTCCACACCTTCAAGGGTAAGTCTGGGCCCCAGAGAATGTCTTCTCTTTAAACAGTGACTCTTTTCTTCCACACAAGACAGTTTGTGTTTGTTTCCAAGGACTATGGACATATTCTCCATCAGTAAGCTCTCCTGAATTCTGTCTGGCACCTGACAGTATCTCTTCCTAAGTCTGAAATCAGATCCTCCCCCAAAACGGCACCCGGGGACACACATGTGCGCGTGGCGGAACACACGCAGGCCAGAACAGGGAGCTTCTCTGTGACTCCATCCACAGTTACTATACTTGGTCGCAGACACTGCCTCTCTGAGACCCACAGCCCGGCTTGAGAACTGCCACAGTGAAGTGAATGCCACCACATGGCCCTGCCACTTTGGGGGTGACCCTCGGGACAGACAGCTGGTGAGGCAGCTAGGGTTTTCCTCTCCTGAGGGCCCAAGTCTCTGGAGTGTTTTTCCACTTAGTATCTGTCCTTGCCAAGAGAAAAGAGCTCCCTTCCCCCATCCAAAAAAAGAAAAAAAAAAATCTCAGTGTTTGGCTGCTTTTAGCAACCCTTTCTTCCTTTGAAGTTTTATTCGCGGAATGAAAATCCCCTTCAGGCCGATTTGGCTGAGGCTAGAGGGCTCTGAACAAGCTTGCTCTCACAGCTCTCAGAGAACAAAGTCTAACACTGGGACCAAATGAAACCCTGCTCCCGGAGGGGAAGGGCAGAGGCAGATGTGTGCCTTGCAGGTTCTCAGTAGCTTTCTGATTCTGAACTTTGCTCTACCAGCATTCACACACCCTTCGGCCCAGGAAAGTGGGACAGTGAAAGCCTAGGTGAGCAAGGACAGCTGATTAGAAGGGAAGCCCTGAACGTCCAGAGAGGACAGGCCACTTTGCTGGGACTGAGCTCTTGCTGAGGAAGGCCAGTTCCAGGGCCTAATCAAATAAGTCTAGAAACTAGCAATGGTCTGGGTGAGCCGGGGCAAACCCCAGAAGCAGGACTGCACCCTGACCTTACCTTAATTCCCAGGTGGGCCCCGACAGAGACAACCAAGCTTTGCTTCCCGCTCCCCTCCCTCCTGCCCCAGCTCGCCCCCAGATGTTGAGAATCACGTATCCAGCGTTCCCTGTGTGCTGAACCTGCACTAGGTGCTTAGTACACCAAAGGCTCCCCCCAGGTGGCAGGTACTGTGGTGGTTATTTTGTAGATGTGTTTGAGAATGTTGTTCTTTGGCAAATGCAAGGGTAGACTGTCATGGTGTCTGAGAAGATGCAATCTGAATGAGTCTGCATCTCCTCACTTCCTTCCACAACCAGCCTTTCTGGGCATGAGGCAGTGTCCGAGTTATGATAGGTCAGGTTACAAAAGTTCCTTGGATAAGCCACTTGTCACTCTGAGCACATTTCCCCATAGAAACAATGTTATGTTGACTTTGATTCCTAGGCTAACCTACAAAAGCCAATTAACCCATTACATATCCAATGTCTGGTTTTGGAGACAGCTTGGTGGAATAGACGGAGCTCTGGTTAGAAGCCAGAAAGGCTTGGGTTCAAGCCACAGATCAGTCTCTTACTTGCTCTGTGGCCTTGGGCAAGTCATTTAGTATCTGTTCCTTAGTTGCTTCATCTTTGAATTGGGATAGTATTACTGACCTCGCAGGGATTGTTAGGAATGTTCATTGAGAAAGTACAGATAGGCCACATGGCATACACTCAAATAATGGTGCAATAGAACTCCACTGCCATATGTAAAACTAGCTTTACGGCCTCATGGGTTCGGAGTTCCAGCTCGAAATATAAGTGGCATGTCTCTCCTGCTAAATCTGGATTGGAGAATCTTTGCTTTCCTCAACTTCCTGGGGAAAACACAGGCAATTCTTCCACCCTAAAGTCCCTGGTG